GTGCGTGCGAGACCGTATGTTTGCGCGAGGGCGCGTGTGCCAGTCCACCCGTGTGCGCATGTCATGCCGGGTGTGTGTGTGTGTGTGTGGGTGTGTTTGCTCTGTGTGTTTTTACTGTTTGTGCTGTATGTGCGTTTGTGAGATGCGTGTGTGTGTGTGTGTGTGTGCGTAGGTGGGTGTGGGTGTACATACGGGGGTTGCAAGCAGCCGTGTGCTTTCGGAGTTTGAAGCTATTTGAACAACATGATCAACATGTTCAGAAATCAAGAGTGACTTGCACCGCGCTTGGCATTTGCTGGTTGTTTTTAGTATAGTGCTTTTGGCTCATAGCCTTGGCTCAGTTCAGTGGCACCTTTTTGTTCCCATTTGTTGGGTGGCCACACTAAGAATGTTCTTCCCCAAAAAGGGTTCCTTTTTTTTCAGGGTCACTGAACAACTGAGTTGGGGTTGTTTTCAGGAAGTGGAGCAGGACTTGGTGAAGAGCCTGGCCTTGGCCATCCCCGAGCCATCTCCCGGCACTTGGCCCCCCAGCTGGGAGAGCCCGGCCAGCCCCACGAACCGCGGGGAGGCGAGCCCATGCAGCCCGTTGAGCCCCCAGCGCCTTGGCAGCTTGCGCGAAGGATTTTTTGTCACAGGTGTCCTTGTTGGTTGGTTTGCTTTAAGAATAGAGGGCCCTGGGGAATGATGGGGACTATTCCATTTACCAGGGCCATGTTTCCAAAAGGCTACCTATGAACATCTCTTGGAGACGGGGTTGTGGGAAATAGAACCCACGTCTGTGATACAACAAAAAGGTCTTCCCAAAGACCAATGCCCATAGAAAGGGGGAGATTCTCTTGCATCACAGAAGTGGGGATAAACCCCTTAATCCCACAACCCTGCTTGGAGAGGTTGGAGAGGTTGGAAGGATGAACAAGCCGAGTCTTGGAGAGGTTGGGCACGGTTTCTCAACATATTTCCCAACATGTCATGGAACACACTAAGGCACATGGCTGGTGTTTATCTGGGAGGCCCAAACATGAACCACGACAGTATGTACAGTCGGCTTGCCAATTGGCCTGTGGCAACTCACATCAGATGTGACAAGTCTCAGCAAGTGCTTTGGATTGGAGTTGCATTTTAGATGATGGGCTTGGCAGGCACATGCCTTGGAAGAAAAGGCAACATACCTGCACTTGTAGCAGCATGGAGCTTGGCCGCGTAAGCCAGCTCACTTTAACGGAAGGAACCAAGGCCAGCCTTTCTGATTTTTCCGCGTCCGAGGCGCAGCCATTCAGAACAAGCGGAGCTGTTGGAGAGGAAGACAACGGTGATGCGTTTGCAGAATCTCGCTGCAACGTTGCCGGCGCTGATGTTTTTTTTGGTGTGTGTTTTTTGGTTTTGGGGATTTGCTTCCAAATTCGCATGCATTCCACCCCGAATTGAGGGGATAGACTCACGCATGCAGCCCGACAAACAGCCAGACTGACATGCAGACCTACCTGCATACGCAGGTATGTACATACGCGCATATATAGTAATATATATATATATACATATATATATATATGCATAGCCACTGTGAGTCGTAGTCTATCTTAATTAGCTTTTTGGCAACTGTGGTTGTGGCTAACAGGCCAACATCACAACGACTGTGCGACATCACCGGTGTGCAAAGGCAGTGGCTGATTGAGGGCGGGAAGCTTACTACACGATGGATGTCCACGTTCCTTGTTGGCGAACAGAGTTTGCAATTGAGAATGCCCCTTCAATCTTCAAGCTTAGCGGACAGCAACATTCTTGATGAGTCTTGAGGCAATAGCACGAGGCGCTGAGTGGTCAGCCCAAGATTTAGCAATATCATGCCGTGGGGGTCTTGGAATTTGTCACAACCACACCAAGCTGCCCCTAGGCACTTAAAGACTTAGAGGCTTAGAGGCGCATGCTTCCATGTTGACCCCCTTTGGACACTGCCCGTGTCCCACACTGACTTACGATTTTCGGCCCTGGCAAGGGGAGTCATTGGATACGAGGGGCCCCCATTGCTTTCCCGCAGCTTACAATGAAGCCTGAGGTGGTGCACCGGGTGATTGAATTGGAGCATGGGGGAACAGAAGAGGAGGGGCACATAATTGCCCCTGTGTGCTTTAAAGTTGAAATCAAAAACAGTAACATTCTAAACAGCGTGGCAGACAGCCGAGGGTGCCTCACTTGCTTGGTGGTTCTTGTTGTCTTAGATGTTTCTTGAGTTGGCACGCCATGTTCTTTTTCGTGAGCAGCGAATCGTCCTTTCCCTTGAGGACCTTCAAGCAACACCCCCATTGGAACGGTTCTTGGTGGATTTCTGATTTGCTTCATCAGTGTGGGGGGTAACTTTGTTTGTGCATACCATGCATCGATTTTGTTGCCGCTCAGGAACAGGTTGCAGAAGATCTTTGCCAGACAGTTGACCCCCGGCAAGAGCGTTTGGTGCTGGCGCTACGAGACTCGGCAAGCAAACCCTTTGCGCGCGTATTAGGTCCCGGCGCTTGCCGGTTCCTGAACTGCAACAGATCAAAGGGATCCAAAGACTTTGGGTTTAACCTTTAGTGGTTTAATGGAACACCCATTAGTTGGCAAGAAGTTGAAGTCCTAACATCCAAGCAAAATGCACCAAAGAATTGAGCCATCTCCCAAGAACAAACCGAAAAGCCGGTGAAGCCGAAAAGGCAGGCTGGAGCTGCGAACATGAAATCAATCTGCAATTTGGGGCTCGAAACCTTGCTGTGCGTAGACTAAACAAGTAGCCACATTGCACATTCGGAAGGGCTCAAACTTTTAGCAGGGGAGCAGAAAGCAACCGAGTCTACATCTCTTGGAGACAGGGTTGTGGGAAATGGAACCCACTTCTGTGACACAACAAAAAGGGCTTCCCAAAGGCTAACCCCCACATAAAGGGGGATATTCTCTTTCACAGAAGTGGGGCTACACCCCTTAAAGCAAGCTTTTAGCAGAGGAGCAGAAAACAACCGAGTTTTTCCGGCTCATTTTCGGGAGATGGCGACAAAAACGGGACCCTTCTTGTGGTCGACACGGGTTGGCGTGTTTTTGCGCGTCAGGACAAGAACGAGGAGGACCAGACGTTCCAAGCCTCCGTGAGCATCGCGCTGTTGGACCGAACCTTCAGCGGCGGCTGGGCCACCACGCACCAGGCCGCGCAAATGGAAGCCTGCAACCGCCTCACCGCCTTCTTGGAAGAGGCCAGCGGAGGGGCCTTCTGCGGTTGCAAAGTTGGCAATTTTCTGTGGTGTGGTTGGCACTTTTGTGGTGTGGCACTTTACTCTCTGTCGCGTTTTCCGCAAGTTGGGGCTTGGAGCACTGGGACAAGAGAGGGGTTTTGGATCCCAACCTGAATGGCTGCTGTTTTGGCTTCCTTTGAACGAAGGTGAAACGGGTACCCTCAAAGATCGCACTTCTGGGCATGCCAAGCTCAGGAGTAAAACAGGTACCCGATGGCCTTGTTTCACAGCATGGCTTCAGAGGGCACACGCATTTTTTGGCAACTTTTTGCCAGTGGGCACAGTCTCTTAGTGGTGTAGTGAGCTGGCCATGGGTCAAGATCCCGTACCCCCAGTGAACATCCCAATCCCCACTAAAATAGGTTCTAAAATGGGTGGTGCGCAGGGCCCAAAATGGTACCATTGGTTTGACCAGCAGCCAGTTTTGACTTGTTTCAACAAAGAATCCTGGCAGGAGTTCAAAAGCTGAGCGCATGAGGATTGAGCCCGACCATCCACGCGAAGCGCGCAAGAGAGCGCGCGTGGCGGGCAACGGCCCATCGGAAACCTGGGATTTGTCAAGTCATGTTTGAGTTCAACGGAAGTTAATTTGATTTGAGCTGTGCAGGTCCGGGTTTCTGATCTTCATGAGCGCCAAATTATGGGTTTTGTCTTAGTGAGCGAAGGGGCCGGGGCACTTCCTGCACTGAAAGTGCAAGAAGTGGCAGGGGCACAAGTCACATGCTGCGGAAAGGAGAGAGGAAAGGAAGAACCATGTATTTTGCCACTGTACTTTCCGCTCAGAGGAACCGGACCATTTTTGCAAGAACAAGCAGTACACGACGTCTCTCACTCTTCCAATTATGAAGGGCCTGTGTTTGTTGGAGGCAACGCTGCAGTGTGCACTTGCTGTAACTGGTTCTCTCTACAGGTTGGGTTGCTCCAAGAGGCGTTCGGCCACTGACTATCGCATTGCCCTCCTGCTCCCTCCTTTCTTGCGTAGCATCGCCGGAGCACGTGCTCGCGTGACTTGAGTTCCGGAGCCCCTCAAAGCGGCCCGTGGCAAATCTCTTGGTCGAGCCATGAGGTGGGGCTGCCTCCTCGCCAACGTAAACGCCAGAGCCTTGCGGCACTTGCGGCACTTGCGGCACTTGGGCCGGCGGGCTGGCAATCGCTTAAGGATTTTGTGACAAGTGCTGCTGGCAAAGCTACGGCACAGGCACACATCATTTTTGTTGCTTACTTCCATAATGGTGCGCAGCACAAGGCGCGCGCTTCCGAGCCGCATATTTTCCATCCCCTAGGGACGCACTAGCCAACCTCTCAATCAGAGGGCATGCACCAGCTTGGCTTTGCCAATGTTGCAGTCTATTCCAAAGGGTGAATTGCAACGTGAGTACCTTGAGCCTTTCGGAGCCGCAGCACTGCCCTGCCACCACGGCTTTTGTACGGGCAGTCACTTTTCCGTTTGTGGAAATCATGCCCTGCGGTGGGCTTTAGAAGAGATAGCGACGCTTTACTTGCAGATGCTATGCTGGGCTCAATGAAATTCAATACAGTGCTCGCAGGGTAGTCACCGTGCTGATGCTGTCGCCCGTTCCCTGCTGGCAGACAGGAGGAAAAACGAGAGGCGGCGGGTTCCTGTCTGATGGCAGAGGTGCTATGAATCTAGGCGAGTCCGAAACGGGCAACGTGTTACCAGAGTTGCCGGTGGACTTGCTTGGAATGTCGGGAGTGCAGCAGCTCAGTCTCAGCTCCTGTCAGGATGCATTGTCTCGTGCCAACGAGTTTGTAGCTCTTCACGGCTCCGGTCTCAGAGTCGACTGAGAAACTGCCTGCAGTTGTAGGATTGTTCTATGCTGCGCGGCATGATCGTCATGCGGGGGCCTAGCTCAACCATCTGATTAGGTACTATTCGTTCACGTCATTATGTGACATGTGGCAGTGGCCAGTTTGCTTGTGTGCAAGGGTTATTTTTCCTCGTGTTGGCAGCCTCCGTCGGCCCCTGGCCGACGTTTCACAAATGTTCTGAACTTGATACCCAGCATATCCAAACTTTCTCCCCGCCAAAGCTCCACCTCAACTTTCCGGTGCAAGCGGCAAAGCGGCAAAGTAGAAGTTCACCGGGGTCACAGTGACCCCCGTGCCGAGGACTGAACTGTGCCCTGGTGCTGCTTAGCGGGCCATCGCAGGCGCTGAGATATGGGGAATGGAGCTGGTTGACTTGGTTTCGTACAGCTTTGTGAGCCACATCAGATGCACGGATGGATCGGGTTGGCAAAGACATCCGCAAATGATTTTTGAAAAAGGCATGCGCATGCCCGCATTTTGCTAAGTAAGGATTATGTGTTTTACTCTGGCAGGCAAAGCAATGCACGAACGCCAAGGAACTCAGCATAAGGTTTGGAACGGACCCCATGAGTTTCGAACAACCCAATATGGAATCTCAGGCTCGAGGCATTCAGAAGGCTGTCAATACCCATTTGGGCCTTCACACAGGGTGTATTGAACATGTTTGCTTTGCGTGGCTTTCACCTGTTTGATGGGAAAGTGAAAGAGTACGGAAGTGAGCCATCCACACGGTTACGCCTCAAGCGAAGCCTCGAGTCTCTGTGTAATGGGGAGTCCAATGGCTCAAGGAAGCCACGAGGCGCTGCTCACAGATGTGAGCTGGATCTCGGAGTCCATGAACAGCGCTTTGTCCTTGGCGTTGCCTTCCATGTTCAGTGCCTTGGAGCACCTGGCGAGCTCGAGCTGTGATGCTTGTGTGTTGGGAGCCTTGCTCTTTCAGGCTATTTGGCAAGGGATCTTTGGACTTTAACTTTTTGATTGATACTTTGGATTGTCCATTGCACCCACGAAAAGCTAAACTTTTTGCAGAGCGGCCAACAGCAACCAAGCTTGAAGGTGATTGTGCCATTATTTTCGTCCACATGTGCCTTTTGCAAAATCATGCGAGAACCATTCCTTGGTAAGCGTTTGCAAAGCTAGTGAGGCAAGAAACACGTCAGAACGCGGGCTTGGCTGGTTTGGCTGCTTTGTTCTGCTTTGTTTCACGCGGCCCCGTTTTTGGCGTAGTGGTGCCCTTTTTGAAGCATGTGGCAACCCTTCTTAAGAAAAGGATTGGTGATGTCCGAGCTAGGATGTTTTCCCGTGGTGAAGGATCACAGCAACCCGAGCCCAGGTACGCACTCCGAGGCGCGGTTCATTCAGCCGGTGTATTCGGACAGGTTTGAATGGTCAGTAACACCAGCCCTGAATTCTGTTGTCACCAGCTGGTTGGTTGCTGTTGGGAGTTGTGAGGCGAGAAGGGCCCCAAAGCATTTGTATGACCTACTTTGCTCGTCGCGTCCCGCGGCTTGGAACCTTTTTTGCTGTCGAATTTCTACGAAATTAAAGGAACTATTGAGCGATGGTGTGCTGACCACAGGCTTGCAAGGGAAGCAACCTTTTCAGACTGTTGTCCACAAAAACTGGTGACACTCACTTCTGGCACGCATGCCGATGGCAAACAGAAACAAGCATTGCGCAAGAGGCACGGCAGATATCTCAAGTGTGACACCCGCCGCCGAGCTCATGCTGTTTCAGTGCCCTTCCCCAGCAAAGGTGCGGCCAGAGTTCTCAGACCATGCTTGCTGGCACGCTGCACCGCCAACGGAGCGAGAGAGAGAGAGAGAGAGAGAGAGAGAGAGAGAGAGAGAGAGAGAGAGAGAGAGAGAGAGAGAGGGAGAGATGCTGCCAATCGCCCTTCTTGAGCAGTAAACAAGAGTATTGCCGAAACTGCGCAAATGTTAGGTGTCTCTGAGAATCAACCAGTTGCCAACGCAGCAACTTGTGCCCGTTATGTTCACAGGAGTTTCGTCCAAGCCATCCATACCTTGCCTCCTCAGCTCGAGTCCTTTTTGGACCTCGGTGGCCATCACGCCCTTGGGGATCCATTTGGAGTACCCTTTAAGTCCCCTTGTGCCCTGGTTGTAAAGGGAACCCCTTCACTTTGAGCTTTTGGTTCTTGGTGGGGTTTCCCGCCCTCGGAAGACCTAGCCGGGCTCACCACCAAGAGGGAAGCTGAAACTTGAACCTCTTTGTGTGTGTGTTTTCGAGGCTTTGAGACTGTTTTTTCGACAGGTAAACCACTTGGGTCAGCCTCCCTCTAATTGGTGGTTTGGATTGGTGGCTTGGGATTTGAACCCTGGCTTCTTGTAGAAGGTACATGGGAAACCGCTCCTGAACAACCAAACCGCCAATCCAAAGCGCCAATCAGAGGGGGAGACCGCGCCATGCCCACCAAGCCTCCGGACCGCGTGGTGCCCCGCCGCGTGCTTCCGCCGGAGCGGCGGCCAGCGCCCAGAGCCCGCGGCAGAGAACGCATCAGTCGCCAGGCCGACGTGAAAGAAACGGGACCGCCGGAATGAATCGATGCTTAGGTTGGATACATCCCGTAGATGGACGAAATCCTACCCAAGAACCCATGGTTTCAAAGTGGTGCCGGATTTTGTCCATCCAGAGTCGGGAAATCTATGCGAGACTTAGGAAAGTTGATAGATTTGGGATTGAGCACTCACCCAGATACGAGCCGATGTTTAGGATGCCTAGTTGAAGCAGGTGGTTCAATGTATGCGCTAAGGAATGGGGAAAGGGTCGAGTGGAAATTGAGGCATGCGGAGCCAAGGATTCGACATTGAGCTGCAGCTGAAAATCAATCTTTGGCAGATGTAGGTCAAATGACATGCTGGGCATATGCAATGTCCCCCATTTTACACCTTTTCTAGGTTCCCCGTGCCCTTTTACTGTTTTTGGGGGGAGGGTTCCCTACTAAAATAGACCACAGAAAAAAAATCAGCAGCCCTTATTCGAACCTCTGCACGCAGCTCACAGTGGTCTACTGCCGACCGACCTGGGGGCCACCTAGTGCATTTTGCTTGGATGTCGGCACTGTAACTTTTTTGCCGACCAATGGGTTGTCCATTAAACCACTAAAAGTTAAACTTTTAGCAGGGGAGCAGAAAGCAACCGAAAAGGCCTCTCCACAAAGAGAGGCCTCATTGAATCCCGGGACCTCCCAGCGCGCAGGAACTGCGGCCTGGCCTTAGGCTGCCCCGCACTGCCTCCATTGGAGCACCCAGGAGTGTGTCTGCAGGAAGGCATTCAGTGCCTCGCGCCAGAGGCCAGGGAGACCAGAGCAAGAGAGGCCAGCCTGGTGAGTTTGACCAATGCGGGCTTCTATCGAGATTTTGTGGCCAAGAGCATTGTCCGAAAATTTCACCTGCCTTTTGACAGAAGGTGCATTTTGGAAGGGGAAAAAAAACCGCTGTTCTCCCTTGCCATTGAGCCAGCTGTTCTGTGGCTGTGAGGTTTAATGGGGGCCCCTCCTATGAAGCTTGAAAGGGAAGCCTCAAAACTTCTAACGGTTGACTCCCCATTCTTTTCAACCATCGTTCCTTTCTCGGGTTTTTGATGGTTTCCTGAGAAAAGAATGGAGAAGGTACCCGTAGAAAAATGGTGACCTGGTGTCCTCGTCTGCGCCAGCCAGGTCCGGGCCAAACACTGAGCCGCGCCACTAGCCGGCGCGTGGCATCAGTGGGGCCGCAGCGGCAAAGGAGCAGCGGTTCTCAGGCTTTCGGGACCCCTCCGCACCCCCGTTTGATGGTTTGTCGTAGGACACTTTCTAGGGGCCATTATTTTGACCGTTTCTAGGGCTTATCAAAGTCGGAACCCATCACTTGGGTGATGTTTGGATGACGGAATGAGGCCAGCTTTCCGTAGGAAACCTAAAGGACACCAGCTACTTGGAGTCCCTCATCTTAAGACACACCTAGTATTTCTTTATGTCAATGCAACTTGGTTTGCCAGGACTGAGGAGCAAGAGCCCGACGAGGCGACTGTGCGCCGAGGGATATATCAAACCCAGGGTGGGAGCCTTCAAAATTTAAAATTCCACTTTGCAGGTCCTTATATGGCTACGACTTTTGATAGGGAGCCACCTCAAAAGTGATTGGTGGACATGAATCCCAAGCTAAATGATGTCCACCAAAGGGTCCCCTATTGAAATTCGCACCCATATGTTGCGGGGTTCGGACAGGTGATTGTTTTGCGCGATTTCATTGTTGGCTTGCATGTTTTCATTCTATTGGTCAATGCTCCATGTTTGAGCTTTGGCTAGGACTCGTGCTTCGCCTACTACTTGGGGACAGGCTTGCAGGTGTCCACTCTGCACAAGCGCTGGCTACAGAGCCTCCGCAAGCCGCAGACAGAGCGGCTGGAGTTTACAGCTCCTGCGCCTAGCGTTACCGGCGGTTCTTTGAAAAGCGTCTTTTGATTGCACGGGGTTCCCCAATGCCTGATGCCGGTGAGCCCAACATACCAGGACATACCACAAGTTCTTGGTTGATTCTCGTTGACAACGCCAGAAGTGAGAGGGCCCAAGGATGATCTTGAAGCCTATAGAGGGCGCGGTTCTGGTCCCCTCGAGAAAGGAGAGGGGAGGAGGGAGAAGAGATGCAATTGAAGAGTAACTTGCAGATTCCACATCTTCAGATTTCTGGATATTGCATGCTGGTGGTCTGGACTGGAGGGGATGTTGTTATTGTAGTGGTGTTGGTTTTATTCTGATGTTCTAAAGGCTTGGGCACCAGACTTCCAACGCGGAACTTCAAGGTGTGTGTTTGCGTGCAAGGGGGTTGCCAAGAAATTGAAATCAACAGTCGCATAGGACAAATTAAAGGTAGCATTGACGCTAAGTGCCCGGGCACGAACAGGCGATTCTTCCATTATGGGTCTCACTTAAGGCCTGTAGACTAAAGCGTAGCATCGATTTTTCCAGGAGGAAGTTGGTCGGAACATCAATCATGGCTATGTGGTTCACCTGGTGGCATTCTGTTCAGTATCACTTGAGACACGGAATGCAGTGATTTGAGCTCCGAGGTTGTTCGATTCAATGACGATGTCGTGCTTCTGAAAATCGACGAGAAAGACTGTTTCGCTTTCTCCTTCGGCTGCCTGGTCTGTTGGGGCTGCACCCCACAAGAGGCGGCTGCAAGGTTGACATAAGCTGAGTTTTGCTGAGCTATTCAGAACAAGAGGGAAGTGGGCGTCAAAACAGCAGCCTACATGTGCATGCCTTAATAGTTACCTAGGTTTTCCCTCCATTGTCGTTTTGCGCGAGTGCAAGCTAGCAGCAAGCAGCTCTGGCGCCGGGAAAGTGGAAGAATGTTGACCCAGGATCTAAGTAGAACCCGTCCCATGATTAGGGGGGTGTTCCCTCCAAAAGTGGTCTGAATCCCCACTAAAAGGCGAGACGCCCCTATTAATCAACCAGGGGTTTATTAATCCGGGGTTAACATCAGCATGGAGCGCCCGCTGGCAGGTGACAGCGGCCCGCACAGCCGTGGATAGCCAGCTGCTTGGCCGGCTGCCACCTGCCAACGTAGAGGTGGACTTTCTGAACATCGCAGGGGGTGAGGACCTTCCACCAGCTACCAAGGCGAAGAGGGGGGAAGCGGCAGGTCTTCGCCCAGAGTCGTAGAATCCTCAATGCCCTCATGAATGGCATGGGGCGGTTAATTGTTTGAATGTTTGCTTGTTTGCTTGTGTGCTCGCATGCTTGCTTGTGTTTGCTTGTGTTGTTTGTTTCTTGCTTGCTCGTTTGTTTGGATGTGTTTGTGTGTTTCTTTGTTTGCCTATCTGTTTGCCTGTCTGTTTGCCTGTCTGCCTGCCTGTCTGTCTGTCTGTCTGCTTGTTTGTTTGTTTGTTTTGTTTGCTTGCTTGTTTGCTTGCTTGCTTGCTTGCTTGCTTGCTGCTTGTTTGCTGTTGGGATGACGGATCGGCAATGCCCAGCCCTGTAGAGCAGGGCAGAATCTTTCAACACTTGTATGTGTGTATGTGTGCACATGCGAGTGTGCAAGAGGTATTGTGTACAAGATCTGGTCTTTAAAAGTGCTAAGGGTTTCCAAGAAAAATCGCGAGGTCTTTTTGAACCATGTCATGCCGTACCTCCCCCTCGAAATGGACATCTTTCAACAAATATCATCCCCCGGCCCCGGCCCTTCCGGCGACTTGGTTGGGCGCCCAAACCAAGCGTCCGCGCGCCTTCAGCCCGCGCATTGCTTTCAGCCCGTGGAGCGCTTGGCCATCGCCTACTCGCTGGCGCAGTCGGTGCGGCTGAGCTACTGGGAGCAGCGCGTGAACAAATGGGTCGCAGC